TTAACTATGGTCTTCAAAAAAAATTCATCCATGAAATACATAATGGAGAATGTTCGTTCGAGTTCGTTCGTTAGTGTGAGAGTTCGTTCGTATTCAAAATTCGATGTTCGTTTCACCCCTATTGAAAATCAACATAATATTTCGAATCGACCTTTTTTCAGCATCACTTTTCAACGAGGACGAAGCAAAGTCGCCGAACGAAGCCTAGAGGAAGAAAATCACCCTCTCCACTTCACCATCACGATACTGACATACATACGAGACGAAACAACTAAAAAAAAACAAGAAAACTGTACGGCCATCATCGCGCTGACTTTGGTCTGACTTTGCTCTGAGAATTTCTATCACGATCAAAAATGTACGAGGAGCACTCAAAAATAGGCCACAGACGTACCTTTATCGCTCTCTACTCCTTTTTCAAGGCACAAAAGTCGACTCTCCACTTTCAAACCAGGAACCAGACATACCAGTGGTCCTTTTCAGCTGCTCCACGAGCGCAGGAAATGTTCACCAAGGGGCGCAGAGCAGCATCCATTCCAGACTAAAGAGCTAAAATACGAGTGAGACTGCATGATTGAGTACATGAGTACATGCAGAAAATAGTCAATTTCAGCGTTTCTGCTCCAAACAGCAACCAGCTTCGACTAGAAACAAAGATTACAGCAAAGGATCAAACAACAACCATTTTCTGCAGTTTTTTTGCAGATGGCTTCCTTGTGCTTGGCCCAGCACGCCAAAAATCACACCTCGGAGGAGTACAAAAATTACAACTCTCAGATGTCCTCGATTGCTGGCCATGTTGCATTTTGATAGTCGCATGCTTGTGCGATTCCCCGTGTGCATTTGCTGGGTGGGTGGGTGGGTAGCTAAGAGACAATGTTGTTCTGGAACAGGTTCATCTCTGTCTTCTCCTTTGCTGTGTGTTTCTCCTCCCAGCTCAGGTAAAGCGACGGGACGGGACAGGAGGACGCGCTAGCGACATCAAGGGATGCGCAAGGTAAATATCTGTACTGCGTATCTATTATTTGTGTGGCATATGTAATTGTTAATGCAGATAGATATGCTAATGACTGTCCGATAGTTTTAGGAGGTTTGACACTTTCAAGTCGCATCCACAGCTGGGCTGCATCTTGCATATCTTATTACTATAGGCTTGTTTAAGTGTGGCTAGATTGAGCCCGGCACAAAGGAATTTCATGCCAGACCTCTATGCCCCTGTACCGCGCCTGAAGTATGCATGAGTTCTCCAGCACTAGCCAGTGAAACGTACAATTTGGTTGGCGTGTAGCACTTTCGGACTAGCCCCACTCCCCCTTATCGCATGTGAGTCAGGTGCGTGATGGGCATGCTGAAACAGATTTGGCGCACCCACAACTACAAGATCCGGTCTCCATAGAACTTGAATGCTTATTGTGAAGTGCATGGGCGCGCAAGAGTACACAGAACTTTGGGGGGTTCTTCTCGCTTTTTATGGCATAGAGGATGGATTACCCGGGCCATAAGTTTGCATTCCTTGCTTGCTCTTGTTTTCTGGGTTGCTCTTCCGCCATCTTCATCCATCTTGTTTGTTCCATCTCAGATGACAGCATCGCTGATTCTGTCCATCAAAATGCCGATGACACTCGCCGCACTGCTCAGTGTAATGGTGTGCATCGTCACCGCCAAGTCAAGGAGCAACCAAGCATGTCATCACCAGCACCCCCCCCCCCCCCCCCCCTCTACCGGCTGAGCTTTTTGGGATTTTTTGGGTGGTGGGCTTGAACAGAACACCTGTCACCCCGGGAGGGGAAGGGCTTTTTCTTTCTTTAGTTGGGTATTGTTGCTCTGCATAATGGAATTCGTCATGCCTCCGTTTGTGGTCGCTTTGCTGATGGTGTGCTGGCTCTGTTTCAGGAATGGGATCTTTTGGGATAGCCGCACTTGTGGGCCCACTGCCTCCAGCCCACAGATACGGTTTTACTGGGGCTGGCGGCTGTGGTTTCACGCGGAATCCTGAAAGATTTCATTCTGAAAGCCTGGGTAAACCTGCTGCAGGGGTTGCATGGTCATGCATGAAGTACTATTGTACATGGTGGGCCCACTGCCTCCAGCCCTCAGATACTGCTTTACTGGGGCTGGTGGCTGTGGTTTCACGCGGAATCCTGAAAGATTTCATTCTGAAAGCCTGGGTATACCTGCTGCAGGGTACTATGCATGGCATGCATGAAAGTACTATTGGACATGAATAATGGCATCATGGTAACAGCAGTACAGTGACAGTAGGCACATGAATAAACGAAAATAGCAGCGGCATGCAAATAATGGGGTCATGTATGTAGGTACATGATTATAGTACAATCGTGTAGTACCGGGTTCATGCATAAAAATGTGAACAAGATCGAAGGCTGATGCATGTACCATTCATGGTGGGCAGTGACGTCGTAATACCTCGGTCTAGTATGCTCGCTGACGCTGATGTGTGTTGCTAAAACCACTTACTATGCATGCATGCATGAGACAGTACTTACGATACTATTACTACTAGTACAGTACGGTCCTAGATATCTACAGTCGACTAGTCATGTACCGGTACTTGTAGATCCTGCTGGGCTAGCTAGCTGGCCAGAGAAAGGCGACCTAATGAATATTACCGTAATAATAGTGCCGAATGCTATCCATACATTATGTACACTTATGCGGCCCTAGCACCACATACGGTGTCTGAAGCATACATGTACACGACAGACTCAGTGAAAAGATCGTAGCGTTTGCGAAGAGAAGAGTCGAAGTATGCATGAAGAAGTAGTTACCAGTGCTGTGACAGTGGGCGCAACACAAGGGCCTACCACTACACATGCTGTCCATGTCCGGACGACGTCCCCGGGGAAAATTGCAAAAAAACGCGGCATAATTATGGCATAATTATTATTTGCGGTAAATATGCGGTGAATATTATTGATATGCGGCAAGTTTGCAGTTGATATGAGGCAATTTTCAGTGAGTACCGTACTTCCCCACATATAAGCGCATGGGCTTATATTAAAGTGAAAATTTGCTACAAAAAGATTTTTTGCTGTGTGAACATGTTCGGGTAGAAGCCCATGCGCTTATATGTGCAATAAAGGTTTGTCTGTGTCCTAAACAACGGTGTTATCACAATGCTTAGCAGTATATTCAGCTCCCGGATGCTTCACCAATAGTGTTCACATATAAGCCCATGTGCTTATAATTGGGGGTGCGCTTATGTCCGGACATAAGCACATGCGCTTATATGTGCGGAAGTACGGTATGTAGTGAAATCAATCAGTTACAAGTCTCTGGTGTAAGCGTACTCGTCATATTTGAGTACAAAGCCGCCACGATGAGACGTTGCTGACAGAACAGTGCACTGTGTGTACGTGTAGTGCAACAAAAAAGTTCAAAAATCGCGGAAAACGCGGTCTTTTGAAAAAACGCGGCCGTGGAATCGCAATTTTCCCCGGGGACAGATTGCACGATAGTAGGGAGGTTCTGCTATACGTGAAACGTAGAGAAATCACGTAGATCTATAGAGAGCAGGTGTCTGGGTTAGAGTCTACGGCTTCGCGTGTTTTGGCTCCAGATTTCTACGCGGAGATGGGGTTCTCTACGTTGGGGCACACGCAGAGAAAATGCGTACGGATTTGCTGGGTACCGATCAACTGCATGCAGAAAACTGCCAAATATGGAAGGGGAAATTCCCAGTACACATTCCACGTGACTTCTCTCGGTGAAACGTAGAGCAGAACAGCATTTCTTTACGTTACGGGAACGGGAAGAAAGTTCGCGTGATTCTTTGCGTCGCGTTCCCAAAACGACTACGTAGAGCAGAACATCCCTATATATAGTATGGTTCTACGATACACGGCAAGACACTTCACACGACGAGACACAGCGCATACAACGAAGTACACGATTGTACAAGCCAGTTCATGAATTGCCGACACAGCGCATACAAGCCAGTTCATGAAACGCGAAACTGAAATCGAATGTGTGCGGCCTGATTTTACCATGTTGTACAGCCAACCAGGCGCTTGCCCAAATCTCATACCTGGCAAAGCTATGCGAACGGATCAGTGAAGAAATCACACCATGCACGCACACCATGCATGCACCCCAAGTTGGCATACATATACATTGTACAAGTACAGTACTGTGCATCCCAAAATGGCACACATGAACTGTACATCCAGAGCATGCAAGTACATATACCTGGTAGGATGGTAGACAGACATGCTGTATTATCTATTCTGTACTTCAGTGCTGGCCAAAGAAATCCAACCTCATGAAGTAAAGTCTGTCCCCGGGGAAAATTGCGATTCCGCGGCCGCGTTTTTTGCGATTTTTTAAAAGACCGCGTTTTCCGCGATTTTCCCGCGTTTTTGAACTTTTTTGTTGCACTACACGTACACACAGTGCACTGTTCGGTCAGCAACGTCTCATCGTGGCGGCTTTTTACTCAAATATGACGAGTGCTTACACCATGTACACCAGAGACTTGTAACTGATTGATTTCACTACAAACTCACTGAAAAATGCCGCACATCAATAATTATTCACCGCATATTTACCGCAAATTCTTCGCAAATTATGCCATATTATGCCGCATTTTTTTGCGATTTTTTCCGCAGTTTTCCCCGGGGACAGTAAAGTAGCGTCGCGTTTGAGTGCGCAGCTAGACGAGTATGTGTAGTGCCCGGCGCAATGTAGAAGCCACAAGAACACGTGCTGGCATCTCATCATTCACAAGGCTGAAGAATTTGCCAGAATTATGGTGACATGCCCTCCCCCCCCCCCCCCCCCCCTCCCTTTTCCGCTGCCATGACTGGCTATGTGGCCCCGTAAGGGGCAGACCAGGAGGTGTGTTGTTCACCGAGTGGGGAACGCCAGACTCCGCACACACACACACACACACACACACACACACACACACACACACACACACACACACACACACACACACACACACACACACACATATATACGATGATAGCAGTCGCCCATCCTATCAGCAATCTACATGTCTCCTGGAAACGCAACATATCAACCATGGTGATAGACTAGCATGCACACACCAACAACCAGCCATCTCAGTACCCGACACAATAAAAATCACACGGTCATAGAACCAGTTTCTCAGCCCTGGAACTGTCAAAGGGCACCGACATAAATAAGTCAAGACAAACGGCCAGGTGAGAAGAATAGAAAAAAGAACCGTACCCTTTTAGGAAGGTACTAATAGTCAAGAGTGCACTACTTGATACTAGACTATGGCCGTGAAACATAGTTTGTTTAAGCAAAGAACACAATGGTGCGTAGAGAGAAGATAAGACAGATGCATAAACTGATAATGAATGATCCTAATCACAATTTTAATTCATAGTTATTCTTTTGGATAGTTGTAGAAAACGTCTAAAGCCTGAGAAAGAGGGGGGGGGGGGGGAGAGCGAGAGAGAGAGAGAGAGAGAGAGAGAGAGAGAGAGAGAGAGAGAGAGAGAGAGAGAGAGAGAGAGAGAGAGAGAGAGAGAGAGAGAGAGCGAGAGAGAGAGAGAGGGAGGGAGAGAGAGAGAGAGAGAGAGAGAGACGCGGGCACACACACAAACACACACGCACGCATATAATACAGAAGGAGAGCGACAGGGAGCACCTCCAAGGATAAATAGGTAAAAGAGACTGTTATGAAGATCACGAACACAGGGAACAGCCAACGGTACGCTGTACACCACGTGTGCCAAGGGTACAAGTACAGAAAGCATCTAGCTACATAAAAAAACTACAAAACACTCCTGTTCTCAGTGTCAAAACCAAACACTAAGTAGTCTATAGGTATTAGGATACCACGATCCATGATTTCCCCACTTTATGCTTAGATAAAGTGAACGACATACTAGATATCTCACACCAGTCTGTTGCAGCACTAAGCAGAGTAGCAACAAGGACACAGTGCGCGCGCACGCGCGCACACACACACACACACACACACATAGTACAACGGGCAACAAAACTAGAATACGGTCAAACTCACTAGGATGCCGCCGACGTCGTCGCCTGCTGCGACTGTACCTTCCGACGTGCGGGGCGTTGACGCTTCGCCTGCGGCTCTATCGCCTCCTCCGAGTCATCACTGTCCTGGCTGAGTGGTGAATGCGATGAATGTGATGATGTTGGCGTTGATGCTGCCACTGCCGACGTCTGCAGGGTTGAAGCTCCTGGCGGTGGAGCCGCCGCTGGCACGGATGTAGCTGGAAATTGGGGCAGGGGTGCTGCTCCAAGCTGGTGCTCTAGGGGCACAGAGAAGTGTGCTGTGGTGGGCATGTGTGCTGTAGTTACGGGTATGTGCGGCGCTGTGGCCATTGGCCTTCTCAACGATATGCTGCTGGCGTGCAGAGCCAGTCCTCCTGGTACTGGCATGCCTGCTTCTCGCAGCTGGCGCTCCAGTAACTCATTCTCGCGACGGATCTGATCGTTTTCGGCAGCGCGCGCACCATTGCTCTTCTTCAGCTGGTTGATATAGCCAGTTGCACTGTTGAGAATTGAGGCTCTCGATGCTCGCTCATTGCCCATACTCGGCAAGCTCTGTTTTAATGTTTTGAAGCTTTCTTTTATATGATCTCGACGAAGACGCTCCAAATAATTATGATGAGCACGGGCCTTTTTGTCGCCAGGCAGCTTGGAATCGCCATCGCCGTCTACATCATCCTCTTCCGTACTCAAATACTGCTCGTTGTCCTCGCTTTGATTCGAACCGTACATCTTGAAACAAGGAATTTACTCAGCTGCCGCCAATATTCACCCACTCAGTGAGGTCCACAGAAACGAACAAAATCCACTCCACGATGTGCAACGTATGCACGCAGGTACCACGCTCGCCACTCAAGAGCACGTCAAACAGACGGTATTGATTCCGTTTCTTGAGGAAACAACACAGGTGAGAAACACGCACGTACAAGCTGCCAACACGATCTAGGTAGAATCTCTCTGTTCGAAGACAAGGAAAATGACACTTCTCATGATCTCATGTAGAGAAAAGAAAAACAGCGACAGCCGCAACGGGATGACCCCATGCTCAAAAGTCAAATCAAAGTTTTACCCAGACTTTTGTTTCGTTGCGAGGCAAAACTGCATGCAAGTCGTGTAGTACTAGTACAGTGTAGTGGGCCACGTGGAGCTGCCACGTGCATGTATGTGTGCTGCTCGATTCCGGCTTGCTCATTATTTTCATGACATCGAGCACTACCAGCAAAAGGCCCAGTGCATGCAGTGCAGTGCACTACAAAAAAGTAGTGGCAGTGCAGCATATCATGCATTAGACTGTGAGCCAGGCACCAAAAATCCTGTTAGAATTTTTTTTCGTTCCGACCTTGAGCGTACCGCAATTTTTTTCCCCAGTTCGTTTCATCTACTCGACTAGATACGAATTCAGCTTGTTGTCACTTCCAAATCAGGCACGAACATGCCCAAATAGAAGGGAGAAACTACATGTACTTTGGCCAAATCAATAGCCGCCATCGACAAGAACCAAGGTCACAAGAGCTGGAGCGGACTTCTGTTGCACCACTGACCTCGCAAAAATGTACGGTGGTGCAAACCCAGCCGCATCATGACGATGTTTTTTCGTGGTTTCTATAGTATTGTGTGCAGTGCTAGTGCAGCGCAGTGCAGTGGCAGTACGAACATCATCATGTCAATCATATCAGTGTGCTAGCATGCTTGCTGCTGATCAGTCAAGCTAAACTAAAGGTTTTTGTAATCTGTTGGAGCAGAAATACATGTAGAACGTACAATGTACCTTATCTCCGGATAGCTAATAACTGTTTCGATCTTTTATACTGAAGTGCTTCAGACTATGATTAATTGTATCTTTCCGCTTGTGTTCTGTACATACAATGGGTAATGTAACTAATGTTTCAAAATAATTATTATTATAGTTCAAATAAACTACAGATCTGTATCTACCGGTATACCCCTGCGGTCCTCTAACGTTACTGGTTACGGTCATTGCTCTACCCTTTGCACTTATAAGTTAGGAAGCAATACAGCAGTACTTACGAAGTAACGTTACATTGATCAGTTATATGAGTGTAAATATACAAATCCTGTATCCAGCAACTTCTTTAACATTATTCTGCCATACTGTACATGTATATATTATAGAGATGTAGAGGGTGAAATGAGCATTGCACCGGATTAAACCAGATTCTCCTGGCTGTTGTTGATGGTCTTTTCCAACCGTTGTCTGGAGAATTCGCTGCTGCTGGGCTTTGTATATTGAATGCCACCTGTTTGTTCTGTACATTATCATTCCTGAAGTGCATTTCGTGGTTGTCGGCACCATTTCATGTGCACTTACCTACCAGTGCATCGTCACTTCGAGTAATATTTAAAATGTGCACGTACTTTATACAATGCACTTATGCGTAATTCTATAATTCTTGGCCTCGTATAGTTATTTTAACCCAGCTGCAATGACGCTTGATATACATTTCTTCGTCCAGTAACGTTGCCTGCTGAAAAAAGTAAGAAACACCTTCAAAATAGCATGTTGCTATGTCAGTTGCTATGTAGTTGCTATGGAAACGGGGTATGTTAAGATAATTGCTTATTTTGACTTCCCTGCAAGCTTCCCAAACTGACAACAATCAAAAATGATCTTCTATTAGGTCTTTCCACATGCTAAAAGAACAAAATCGCGGTACACCCAAAGTGGGAACGAAAATCATGAATTCATGCACTTGGCTCACAGTCTACATGCACAGTCCGTGCGCCAGGCCACTGAGTGGGCCGTTTTCATTTTCCTGGGTCCGATCCCGCGGGAAAAAGTCTGCACAAAACTGTGTTGGTGAAGATGATGACGACAATGGCAGTTGGGGGAGAAATTTGGCAATTGTTTTGGCCTTTCTCGCGGCCTGTCTTCGCTCCTTTGCCTTTGCAGCAATGGAAGATGATGAGTTCAATGTTGTGCTTTGACGCCGAGTAGAAAATTTGAATCGCAAACGCCATCTTGGGCTTTATTTATGGAAGAAACTGCTCTCCACGATTTGCTGGTTTCGCCGACTGGCATCGAGAAGTAGACGAGCTGAGCTTTCCAAGAGCTGCGGACACCAAGCTCTCATGGCGGATCTTAGTAAGTACATATTGTTGTGTAGTGAGATGATAATGGTTTGAGCATTCCTGCCTGGAATAACCGATGGCACTAAGTGGAATCTCAAAATTGTTTTTTAGTATTTTTACGAGCACAAGTGTTGCCTTGTTGAAAATAGCACAACAAGAAGAAAGAAGCATCCGAAGGAATACGATGTCATAAATAAATGTGTTCTCTTCCCGTTTAGTGTGCCTGTGCTTAGGATGGTACTGTTGAGGAATCCGAGAGTGCGAAATTTGTATGTCTTGACACTCTGTATATTGTAAAATTTGCATGACATTTTAGTGGGTATGGACTTGTAGTTGTATTCTCTTGAGATGTACCCTCGTTGCTGCTGCTGCATGGCTGCGGATGGACATGCTGGCCTTAATTGCCATGAAAGCTTCTCTTGGTGTCATTGTAATAATATATTCTCTGTCGATATTATCGATTAAAACGAACCGAATGCTGTCTCGTTTCATGTACGCCGCTGACGCAGCTCCACTGCATTCATATTTTGGTGGCTGAACCAAGAGTCCATAGCCCCAAGAGCATGCAACTTTGCACGAGGGGTCTGAAGGGGCTTGCTGCCCACATTACGTAGCGACAAACTGGGGTACCGGCTGGGGCAGTGCGCAACGATCTGCTGTGGTTTTCAGATTGAAAGTGCGCTTTTTCTCATAAGAGCCTTATGAAGGTTTGTGTGCATGGTGTATCGCATGCAGACACTGCCTCGAAACTGCTGCGTTTCTGTGTGTAACCGATCCACCAGGGGTTAATAATCCGGGTTACGTCCTCTTGGCAGAACTACCGGCAGTGATGCCCAGCCATGCCAACATTCTACAGCGCGATGTATGATATCACTTCTGCGACGCGATGCGCGACAATGCGATTGAGAAATTTTTCTGCAAATTATTGCAGTGAGTGCTGCTTCACTGGAACCAAAATATGGTTCAAGTGAAGCAGCACCCACTGCAATTATACTAATAGGGACAACCAAATCCACTTCCATGGAGTTCAGTGTATTATCTGTATAACATTGGAAAAGTATAGTATATAAAGAGCGGAGCACTTTTTCCATTGAATTACTTTCTGTGTTTCATGCATTATTCCTACTGTCGTTAAAAACTTAAAATGCTGCCTTATCTTGTGCGATCTGTGTGTCTTCTCAGGTAGATCGTGCTCCAACGCGTCTTGGCATTGTGTGAGAACAGCACGAAGAGGACCTTGGGTATTAACGCGTCTTGGCATTGTGTGAGAACAGCACGAAGAGGACCTTGGGTATTGCAGCCTTTCCGCAGAAGGGGAATGACTCGCTTCTTTGTGCTAGTGTGCAAACATCCATGTGTTCTCCCAGTACTGCTGTTAGCTCAGCCAGAGGATTATCGCAGATCTGAGTGTGACAAGCGGTCAGCTGTAATAGCTTTGTTGTGAATGCTTGCACTGCTGTCAACTATTATCTATTCTAGCTGTGCCTCGTAGCACTTCTTGCAAAAGACATCATTCTATGCTATTGTCCTGTTCTTACTTCTTGGAACTGCTGAGACCGTTTCATAGTGGGAACACTTCATCTGTGCCTGTTTGACCATAACTGTCTTACATGTGCTGCAATGCCGCCTATATTGGCTCGGCGTGCACTTTTGAGCTTGTCCGCTACGTTCCGTTTCATACACTTCTGTAGTAACGCAATGAAGATTCTCATTGACACTCCTTTACACAGCCAGCGTATGTGGATATTAGTCTGTAGGTGGCTGCAATTTGGGTTTTTGTCTTTCGCCGTTCACTATTTTACCAAAATATTCCAATATTCTGCATTTGTTGGATGTGTGCACGGGTGTCCAGACGAGTTGCTTGGCATAACTCGCAGACAGGAATGCATACACGCCCAGGGTGTAGCTGAGTGGCATTATTACACCGTCCTGATGTGTTCATTGTGAGTGCTATATGTTTCCAGCTGTCCTCCATATACATGTAAATAGCGAGAAAACAGAGGTTAGAAAATTGGTCGTTGTGGTGTTATTTGGTCTTGGACACCGGCGAGAGACCACATACTAAAAGACTAAGGCTTGTTCTTCTGGATGTTGTAGTGGGTGTTACTACGCGTGCCTGGAATACTTGACGGCACTAAGCTAAAGTCCTGCGTAAAGAAAAATTCAAATTTCGACAGTCGGAGAAGACGTGATGCTGCATGGGACAGAAGCACCCCGCGAGAAAACGTTCGAAACTGAGGATAGAAGTTTGCCTTATCCGGCGATGGACGGCGTGTCAGGTCTGAACTCGAACGAAAAAGGGCCTTGTAAGGCCCACCTTGCAATGACTAGAAACTAACAATTCTCAAGAAATAGCTCAAAAAGTTCAAAGTCCACTGACTCTGGAAAATAAAAAACACGGATAGAGTGCGATATTTTGAATCTGGCGCACGGACTGTGCAGCATGCACAGATTCATGCAGCGCATGATTCATGATGACTGGAATTTTTGCGCAAGGGCTATGCCAGTTCAGTTTTTACAATCATGCATCACAACTTTAGCACGTGACCCTTCGAAATAATTTTCTTCTTGTGAGTTGTGTTGTAGCAGGCTTCATGACTACAATCATGTACATTAGTATTTCTGAAGAAAAGAGAGAGAGAGAAAGACAGTGGTAGTTTGCCCTGTAGTTGCTCGCGACTCTTATTTCTTTGCCTCTCGTCTGCCTTTGCTGGAAACATGTTTGTTTCAGCCATTGTTTTAGCCTGCGTGATGGTTGTGGCATCCGCCAAGCCTGCACCTGAGCTGGGAGAGAAATGGGGCTATGTGGATGTTCGTCCTGGAGCTCACATGTTCTGGTGGTTGTATGGCTATGAAGGAACATTGTCCCCGCAAAAACCACTCGTCATGTGGCTTCAGGTCAGTTTGTGTTGAAAAATACATTTTTGTTTGTGGAGGAGTTATTCGATTTGGTGATTTTGAATTATTTCAGCTCCACTTCCAGTCCATTTTATAAGTACTGTACATTCTAATAGAACGAGCAGAGATTTAGGAGAAGAAGTTTTATCACACAACCCAACAACGCTATTTTATTTGTTTCAATACTCAGTTAGCTGTGGAAAATTCCACTTTTCGATTCACTCTCTTCACTAGTGGATGCCTGAGAAAAAAACTAATTTGCACGTGTACATAAAGAGAGAAGAATGTACATACAGGCATGGTAATGACACAGTGCTGCTAACCTTCCGTATTTGCACGGAAAACCACTCCTTGGTCCGCACTGCGGAATTCGAGCTAAATGGTACGGAAAATTGAAGAGGATCAATCCGCTATGTAGCAGCATGGCGAGCACAAGCTGAGCCGAATATTTTTTTCCGAAAGCGAGTGTATGCCTTGCTAGCTACGACTACAGTCAAGAGTTCATAACCCCCAAGAGTGTGCAACTCCTGATCAGTCCCTGTATGGAAGCCCGCTCGGCGGAATTCCTTCATTGCGTCATTTTTGGTGCAGTGCGATGAGTCACGCCGATGAATTCTTCTAAAATTTACAGTCAAACCAGGATGCTTCCCCAGGGTAAACTGCCTAAACTGCGATTCTAGTCTGAGCCTCAACGGCTCCAGAAGCAAAAGTGAAACAAAGCACACGATCCTAAAGACAAAACTATTTATTTTTTCGATGCAATGGTGACTCTTCATCGCCTTCTTCTTTCACCAGTGCAGTCAGTCTCTTCAAGAACAATTTCTTCCCCAAGCCATCGGCATATTCCCGGTGCTTTCCTCGAAGATGATTTCAAATGGTTGAGGAACTTGAGAATACGTCGAAGGAGCATTTTTCGGCTGAGTTGCACAGCTATCAGAAAGAAGAAAGATTGTCCTCGACGGCAATGCAATATTTTTATCAGCGTCCTCACTTCTTCCTGTCGCGATGTCGACATGTCCATGGATTCTTGGAGAAAGAGTTTGTTTTTGAGAAAGTACGACTGGTACATGTACGTACGTCCGAAATGTCTTCAAAAAAAGCTTCGAAAAGTCGAGGCTACTATACAGCCTTGAGTTAGGAGCAGGTTCAGGGTATAGTTTCCAGAAATCTCAAAGAACCTAAATTTACCTCGGATGACAAGCTGCGCATGACGTAATGTAGGAATTTCGCCGAGCGCTGGGTCTATGCCCGTTGCACACTCTTGGGGGTTATGAACTCTTGCTACAGTCTACAACATGATATCATCATGTGATACAGGTCACACGTAGTTTGCACTAGCAAATCCAGCCACTGGCAATGCCTGTACTGTGATTGTAAAAAAAAAAAAGATTTGAAAAACACAATACCAGCAATGCACACGGCAGTACAGTCATATTGGCAGTACGCAAGAACACCGCAAAGTATGGAAAATCAGAAGTCGCAGTACGCAAAACAGACCCAGTTGGTTGGCAGCTTTGATGACGGCATAGCACAAGGTGGAGGGCACACTGCAACGTGTACATGTACCGTAAGCAAGAGTACATAACCAAGAGTGTGCAACTCGACGATCCCCCAGCCCACGGCGGAATTTTTTTATGACGTCAGTCTTTGGCGGCGGTTTGGCTCACTGATGCCATCATGCGTAGCCAGAGATCAAAGTACAAACGAGAGAGCTTGGAAGCTCAGGGCCCTACGCTATGCTTTTTTGCCTTGATGACCTA